TTTTTTTTTTTTTTTTAAGATTTTATTTATGTTCTGCCTGCATGTGTGCACCAGATCTAATTATAGATGGTTGTGAACCACCACGTGGTTGCTGAGAATTGAACTCAGGACTTCTGGAAGAACAGCCAGTTCTCTTAACCTCTGAGCCATCTCTCCAGCCTCAAGATCCAAACTCTTAGAAGTCATTTTTGTTTAACTGTGGCTCTGGAGAGCTGGGCATGGTACCCCATGCCAGTAATTTTAGCACTTAGAGGAGGAGGAGGCAAGATGCTCAGGAGATCAAGATCATCTTCAGCTACATAAAAGATTTGAGGCCAGCCTGGGCTACATCAGGCCCTTTCTCCAGAAATGTACTGAGGCCGGGGTTTTAGCTCAAAGGAAGCATAAGGAGCAGAGGTCAGAACCCACATAAAAAGCAAGCCAGCATGGCATCCACCTGTTATTCCATCACTTCAAAGCAGATCCCTGAGACAAACTAGACTATCTGGAATTGTTGCACTCCGGGTTAAGCAAAGGGCTACCTTGATAATGTAAAAGATGCCCAACATCAGTTCATCAATTTTGAGCCTGTGCACAGGTGCATACATGTGAATACATGCTATATGTACTTATACACATATGTGTACTTATGCATAATATGTACTTATATGTGTGTGTGTGTGTGTGTATAGATAGGTAGGTAGGTAGGTAGGTAGGTAGGTAGGTAGGTAGGTAGGTAGGTGTGTGTCTGTGTTACCTTCCCTAAAAACTTAATTCTTTGCTTCCTTCTTCAGGGAGCTCTCAACATCAATGACAGAACCATACCTCAGCCCCCCATTCTTCAGCTCTCAGTGGAGAAGTTGAGCAGAGATGGAGCGTTCCTCATGGATGCGGGCTCAGTGAGTGAATTGACTTATCCTGATGAGCTCAGTGTGTAGCTGAGCCTCCTTAGCAGTTGCCTTCAGCTGCTTTTCTTTACTCTGTATGTTAGCACTGGTCGTTCTCCCTGCTGACTCCCATTTCACAGCAGTTCACTGTAGTCTCACTAAGCATGCTCATCCTTTGACTTTTTAAGACATAACCAGTGGTAGAAGTATCAGACTCACTATTAGGCTGCCTCTCAAAATGGTGTATTCCTGTTTGCAGGTACTGATGCTTTGGGTTGGAAAAAATTGTGCACAGAATTTTCTCAGCCAAGTTCTGGGAGTTCAAAACTATGCATCAATTCCACAGACAATGGTAAGCTTTTTATGTTAGTGATTATAAGAGAGTTAAAGGACATTTCAAATATGATAAAACATGAACCCCGTTTTCCAATCAGAAATTAATATTCCAAATTTCTCCCAAAGGGTAAATATTCTCACAGATAGTATCTCTCTTCCAATTGCAAGTGCTCGTTTTATAGTTTAATTTGGGTGTGTTTCCAGGCAGGCTCTTCCTATGCTGCTCAGGTTTGTCTGATCTCATGGACTCAAGAGTTCCTTATGCCTCAGCCTCTCAGGTAGATAGGCCTGGCACACCACTATGCCAGGCAAGAAAGGGTCTCACTAAGTACCCTGGCTGGGCTAGAATTCACTATGTAGACCAGGTTGGCCTTAAACTTACAAAGATCCACTTGCCTCTGCCTCTTGAGCCACCACACCTGGCTCATTTTGTCTTCTAATAGTAATTTGGTTGGTCTCCGGGTTGTTTTTTATTTTATGTGTGTGAATGTTTTGCTTGCATGTAAATACATGTATCACATGTATCTTTTTGCCTGTGGAGGTTTGATCCCTGGAACTGGATCGATAGATACTTATGAGCAACATGTGGGTGATGGAAATTGAACCCAGGTCCTCTGCAAGAGCAGGACACGTTCTTAACTGCTGAGTGTCTCTAGCTTCTTTCCTCAGTCTTTTGACAGGACCAAGGTGTCCTGGCCCTCAAGTTCATCCAACTTTGGAATATATGTTCATTTTATCATTTTACATACCAGTAGGTTTCTTACTGAAGGTCTCTCCTGCATTCCTGGCAGTAAATAAAGGACTCATGAATTTTTAAGTTTTTATTATATCTGTTTCTTCATTGGAGTTTGGGGTGTGCATGTCAAGGCTCAAGTGTGGAGGATAGAGGACAACTTTTGGGGATTGATTCTTTTGACTAAGTGGGTCCCAGAGATCAAACTCAGGTCACCAGGCTTGGTAGCAAGTGCCTTTATCTGCTGAGTCATCTCACAGGATTCATATATTTGGAAAGACCTAGATGTTATGATTGTAGTTAGGATATTAGCTTTCAGTCCTTGAGCACAGTTACTGGGCTGGATGACTAGGCATTTTAAGTAATGAAATCAACTCTCATGTTACTAATAACCACCTTGACGAGTCAGTTGAGTCTAGAGTTCATTAAGAACTGAAGGGCTAGGAAGTTTTCCTAGAACAAGGCTGTACAAACTAGGGCCAAAAGCCTGCCATCTGTTTTGTGAGTATGATTTTATGGGAACACAACCATATTCATTCATTTACTTCAGTGAGGCATTGGCAAAGCTGGGTATTCGCAACAGAGACAAAATTACTTCCAAGCCTAAAATACTTACTGTGTTCTAACAAAATCATCAGCTGATTCATAAGTGTTAAAATTTAAAGGGTACTGCAGACTGCATGGCAGATGATAGAGCTAATTGGAGTTTTGTTTTACAGACAGAACTTCCAGAACTTGATACACCAGAATCTGCCAGAACAATAGCTTTCATCTCGTGGCTTAGAGAACAGAGACCATTTTTCCCAATACTCTATGTAATCAGGTAAGTCAGATTTTTAATATGTCAATGTCTGGCCTTACAAGAATTTGTTTTCAATTATAGTATGTATATGACATAATTGGTAAGTAAACCTTTTAAAAGAACAGAAGAGTCTGTTGAAGTAGCTTAGTTGGTAGGTAGAATCTTTTTGTCTTTCAAGACAGGGTTTCTCTGTCTTGGAACTCGCTCTGTGGATCAGGCTGTACTCAAACTCAGAGATCTGCCTGCCTCTGTCTCCAAGCGCTGGGATTAAAGGTGTGCACCATCACTGCCCGACAGTTGGTAGAATCTTGTATGCATATTCTGGGTTCAGTCCCTAGCATGATGTAAAACAGTGCATGATATAACACATGCTTGTGATCCTAGCACTCCAAGAGTGGAGGCAGGAGCATCCTCAGCTAGAATGAATTCAAAGCCAGCCTGAACTACATGAGGCTCTGTCTCAAAAAAGTAAAAAAAGAAAAAGAAGATGCAGCTGGGCATGGTGGCAAAGGCAGGTAGGTCAGGTGGATAAGGTGAGCCTGGTTTGCAAAGCAGGTCCAGGACAGCTATGGTCCTGTTACACAGAGAAACCTTGTCTCAAAAAACAAAACAAAACCAAAATGTAATTCTTTTCAATAATCATAAGTTATGCATAATAACCACTTATTAGAAGTAACTTTCAATAAACTTACTAATAAAAATATCAGTAGTTTTTCCTTAAGTTATAAACTTTCCTAAAAAACAAACATATCAGGCAAGTATTCTCAGAGAAACCTCAGACATAGCTTTTTTTGTTTGTTTTTAGATTCTTTTTTTTTTTTTTTTTTTTTGGCATATAAGTGTTTTGTCTGCATATGTATATATGAGCCCCACATGCATCCTTGCTGCCTTTGGAAGTCAGAAGAGGGCATTGGATCCCCTAGAACTGGACTTAAGAGTCAGTTCTGAGCCACCACGTAGGTGCTGGAAACCAAATGGGTGTAGGTCACCCATAAGAGCAGCAAGTCCTTTAAACTACTGAGTCATCTCTCCAGCCCCTAGATACAGCTATTTAGATGGTCAAATTTATTTTAATTACCACAGTAATTAAATCAACAGCCTATGAAAAGAATCTATGGTTTATTCAATTGCATCGAATTTCATGAACATTCTTATTCTTGCCTTTTCTTTGTAAGGGAGGAGAGTCTGATGAAAGCAGTGTTCCTTCAGAACTTGGTAGAAGACAGAACAGAATCCGCACTGTCGTATTATGAATTCCTCCTGCACATACAGCAGCAAGTGAACAAGTGAAGAGACCTGGGCCACTGAGGAGCCACGTGCAGATTTCCTGAGACTTCAGTACCTTCCTTTCCTCCTTAAGCTTGTGAACAAATGTGATGATTAAGATGTTTCACTGTGATTTCAACCAACTATAGCAAATAAAGGACCACAGCAGAGAGTCAGGTGTGCAACTCCAACAAAATACTGTATTTTTCAAATCAAATAGATGTCTACATGATCTGAAACCTTTTTCTTCCCTTTGCTGCCAACTATGTTTGAGTTGTTGTGGATTGAGATGAGACAATATTGCAGAGGCAAAGTACATTTTATAAAATAAAGACTTCTGATATCTGCATTTCTATTTCTCATTTTTTTTATTTTTCTGAGTTTCTGGCTGCTACATCTAAAAACCTCACAAGACTAAGAGTTGCAGGGAGCTTCAAATCTGTCAATAATGATCTTTTTTAAATTGGAAAATCCAAAAGTCAGTAGACTGTAGAAAAGCTGGACTCCATTCCCTTTATGTACTTGTTTTTTGCCCCACCCCAACTGCTTCTTTTTTAAGGAAGGAAAAGAATCATGTTAACTAAAACTGGAGTAAACTAGCTCTAGTCTTACTTGGGAAGAGTATAAATTGTAAAGCTTTAAAATCTATCAGTATTCTCTCTACTTGAACAAAGTCACTTTAATTTGAGGTAAAAACTGTAATTAGGTGGTTTTCTGCTGTTTTATTCTGCCATGAATAGAATATGAGCTATCTTTATAAATATATCAGGAATGGCAATGATAATAGCTGGGAATTTTGGTAATCTTGATTCGCTGAGTAGGTTTTGTTTGGTGCATTTCTGCTCTGATTAATAAAGAGGTAAAGTGTTATTTTGGCAAATGAGAGTGAAAGAAGTTAAAGGTTACTATCTTAGAAAGCATCAACATTTCTCTAAGGAGTTTAATAATTAAATCGGAAGCCACTCATATATTCTGGGATATTAAAACCTGTTAAAGTATGATTGCTGCTCTTTGAGTTAGTGGATATTAAGACTGTGCAAATCCATCATATTAAAGTTATAAAAAGAAATTTGATTTTAACATGCTTTTAAGACTGCTTATTTTGATTCAGTTAGAGAACTATTACAGTTAAACTATCAATGGCTTTTGTTTACAAATAGGTAAATAATCCATGTGTATTTAAAGTGCTGTCATGTGTCTTTAAAAGAGTTTGGCTCCGTTTTCACAGGTTCATCTTGTCTTGTGTGAACTTCTTCAATGATGTTTGTATGTAATACTTGATGAAGAGGTTTTGTTTGTTTGTTTGTATAGGTTAGAAATGTGTTTACAGTCTCACATGATCAATGAAATCATAACTTCCAGGTTTACACCCACGTGGGCTGACTTAACTCCTGGGGAAGGGAGCACGGGTCCCCGGAGGATATGGCTGCTGCCTGCCAGCTGCTTCAGAGTAACTGTATCATGACAACAACAGTGTTAGGGTTATTTTTGTTTTTTTTTTTAATTCCAAGCCAGACATGATGGTACATACGCCTAACCCTGGTACTTGAGATGCCAAGGCATGAGAATTGCTAGCCTGGGCTACATAGCAAGTACCTGACCAGCCAGACTTTGTCTTGAAAGAGACGATTGAAAAAAAAAAATTTGTTTTAGTGTACACGTAGTGCAGTGAATTGAATTTTCTTGAAAGCTGCTTCATTTACTGAGAAGCAATATTCAAGTTATAACCCATGAAATTTATATAATTTCCCCCTTTGAAGCCATTGTGTACTGATGTTCCTTTAAATGAACTAAAGTGTTCCTCTTTGTGTAATTTTAAATGTTGGTGTTTGTTTTTTGTTTTGTTTTTTGGTTTTTTGAGACAGAGTTTTTCAGTGTAGCCTTGGCTATCTTGGACTTGATTTGTAGACCAGGCTGGCCTCCAACTCATAGCTGTCTGCCTGCCTCTGCCTCCCTGAGTCTGGTATTAAAGGTGTGCCATCATGCCCAACTAAATGTTGGTATTTGTAAATTCTTTCTTCGTAATTCCAGAGGGAAATGTTGTGCTCCTAGGGAAACCTTCTTTGTGCCTTCCCTGAGAGTCTTACCTTTATTAGCACCTGCTGGGTTAGTATATTTCACAATTTACTTTTAAATTTTATTTTAGATATTATGTAACGTGCAATCCAGAGTAAGTTTATAACAGTCATAAAAACATAACTATTTAGGGTTCACAGTTTTTGTTCTTCAGACAAGAGAATGAATATTTGTGGAATATTTTTTTTTCCTTTATTGAATGTGTTTTAGTTTGACTTTTAGTAAGACACTACCCGTCCTACCATCCTGTATTACTTCCTAATGTAAAGCAACTAATATTTACACTATGCCATATTTTTTTTATTGTAGTTGTAAATTAGAAAGATCCTTGAATTTTCTACAGATCTACAACTACTAAAGTAACAGACAAGGGCAATCTTGATATAGAAATCTGAGCATGGCAGTTCTACCATAAAAAGTACTCTATTTTTCTAATTTCTAGAATTTTTAAAATAATGTTTCTGTAAGTCTGACATACTAATATTCACTCAAGCAGTACCATTTATTTTAGCTTGCATATATTTTAATTTAATGTAATGTATTAAGTCTAATAGACTGTTTTGCAATAATTAGAATAAAAGATTTACTTCTAATCAGAGATGCATAACAGCTCTTATCTAGGGGACCACCAAATGTGATTTCACAGTTTTAACTATTAGAAACACAATCCTTAATAGAAATTTTAATTTTGTAAAGTAGTGTATGATATTGTAACATTAAGTCCTTGTTCTTGAATCAAAACTATGTGTTGATCTTCAGTGTGTTGTGCTCAGTCTTGCTTCTCTTAAATGTTGAGACAAGATTGGTCTTCCTTTTTACAGATTGTAATTTTCACTGTTTTATTCCTGTTTTTTAAAAAAGTCATTTGTAACCCATGCAAACAATCATTTGATCTGTGCTAACTTATGAATTTGGCTATTCAATAAAGTTAATTAAAAGAGCTTATAAACAGTGGCTGTTTATTGAAGATAGTTCAGATTGTTGGCCTCAGCCTCCACAAGGTTTTGTTTTGGGGATAGGCTCTCATATAGCCTGTGCTAGCCCCGGACTGACTATGTAACCAAGGATAGAACCTTGAACTGATCCTCCTACCTCTAAGTAAGTAATAGAATTACAAGGGTATGCTACTGTGCCTGGGTCTATGTGGTGCTGAGGAGAGAGCCGGGGCCTTCATTCAAGCTAGGCAAGCATTTTCCTATATCCCCAGCCTTAAACAGAGTTCCTGATGCTCTGCAGGGGTAGCTGGGTTTGGAATTCTAGATTGGAGGGGCTTCTTCCTGAACGCCTGACAGGAGTCCAAGCTTCTGGGCTGTTTTGTTTCTGAAAAGATGACTATACTGTAGGTAGGCCCAGCTATTGTTTATTTGAAGATAGTCACCTAACTTTTGAAAGTTTTTGTTTTGTTTTTTATCCTTACTGTTGTATAGTTTTATTTCTCTGGCCTTATGGTTTATCTTGCTTATTTTTCAGATGACACTTTAATCAAAAGGTCCTTGTTCTCCATCTCTGGAAGTTCCTAGCCTTGTTGTTTTTTGTTTTTCAAGACAGGGTTTTTCTGTGTAGCCTTGGCTGTCCTGGACTTACTTTGTAAACCAGGCTGGCCTTAAACTCACAGAGATCCACCTACCTCTACCTCCTGAGCACTGGGATTGCAGGCATCTGTCACCACATCCGGCTCCTCAACATCTTCTTTTCTGTTTTGGGAGACTTTTGTTTTGAGATACAGTTAAAGGTTAAGGCAGGCAAGCATAGGAATAGTTAAGTAACCTGAGCCTCTACTTGAATTGAGTATTGCACACCCCTGCCTAATAATTCACTTTAACAGTCTATCTCCTTTACCCAAATATCTCTGAAAAACCTAGCAACCTCAGACCCCAGCTGAATCAGACAACATGTACACCTTCCTCTAAGTTCCTCCTACTTTAACAACAATCAGACTTAGTTTCTTTCCAAATATATTCCCAGCACATTGGACATGACAGATGTAAAGAACAGACCAGAGATGGAGAGATAGCTCATTGAGTAAATATGCTTACTGCCAAGCTGAAGACCTTAGTTTGATTCCTGGGACATGACTCCAGATGGCTGGCTGGCTCTGACCTCCACACAAATATGGGGCAGTAGACTATACTGGCTGATCTGGCCTGAACTGGCTTGGGGAGCATGCACAGTAAAGTCAACGCCTTAGGTGAACTTTCATGGAGAATCCCTGTTTACCATCTTAAGCCTATGCATAACTGAGCATATACATGATACAGTCAGATGCATTTTGGGAAGGCTATGATCATATAGCCTAATAATCAAAACTAAGCCAGCCATACTATGTCAGTTAATAACAAACTACTCTTGAACTCTATTAAAGGAAGTCCCTAACAGTAATCTGGCCCTTAAATACCTCACTCTGGCCCATTGTCTATCTTGATATCATCATGTTTTCTAAATTGTATTACTCCTTTGCCTTTTTTTTTTTTTTTTTTTTTTTTTTGACAGGGTTTCTCTGTGTAGCCTTGGCTGTCCAGGACTCACTATGTAGACCAGGCTGACCTCAAACTCAAAACGATCTGCCTGCCTCTGTCTCCCTGAGTGCTGGGATTAAAGGTGTGCACCACCATGCCCGGGCTCTGCTTTCATTTAATTTGCCTTAAATGAAGCCATCTTACTACTTTTGTAAATTGTGTGAGGCCTTATTTGTCAATTACTTGGACAAGTTGCAAAGAGCCTGGAAGTACCCAATGCCAACCATCACTAACAAGGTCTCTCTCTGCAGCAATGGCTAGTTTACAGTTTACCTGTGTAGACCAGGCCAACCTCAAACTAAAGGGCCATCCTGCCTCTGCCACCCAAGTGCTGGGATTCCAAGCCAGTGCCACCATGCCCAGCATGTATTTGCTTCTACATCACATCCTCTTTTACCCTGTTTTCATTATTCTTTTGTTGTTTTAAGACAGGGTCTTACTATGCAGGACTGGCTGGTCTACAACTCACGCTGTAAACCAAGCTGGCTTTGAACTCACAGAGATCCGCCTGTCTCTACCTCTTAAATGCTGGGATTAAAAGTGTCAACCAACACCGACGGTGGTGGCTCAATAATATGTTTTTAATGCATAAAACATTTATTATAACATTTTCTCTAAGATTCTCAAGCTAGGAATGACCCTAAATTTAAAGCTAGTCAGGGCTACACAAAGAGACTGTCTCAAAAACCAAGGGGACAGAGTGATGGAGGATGACACGCCTTCAATTTCTGGCCTCCACAAAAGTCGTGTCAAAGGTAAGGTAATCTGTGATAGGCCAATATTCCACAAATCATCTCCACCTATTAGTTTGTTTTACAAACCACACACATCTTTTTTTCCCTTCCAGGACTCCCTGCTGTCTGGAGCACCGACGCTTAATCCCGTTCCTTTGCGTTTATCCTTTCAAGTCAATCATGAGGGTGGGACCCCAGCTAATGGGGAAAAGACATAATCACCACTCCTTAGAACAAAAACCAAGTGAATTGCCTTTCCTAGTTTGGATCCCGGCACCCTTTTTTTCCCCCCCTAACAAAGGTGCCTCGCAGCGCAGAAACGCCAAACTTCATCTTTAGTCACCCTACGGCCCCAAGAGAGAAAAGTCAATACTTCTTCAGTAAAAGCAGCTTCTGAATAGGGGCTACAGAAGGCCATCACCAGGAAAGTCTCATCCGTAATAAATACATAAGGAAAACCTGTGAAGAAACCAGGCACACACTAGGAAAAGCAGAGTCCGAGATGAAAATCAGCATCACACAAAAACCCCAGCCGACGTGGTCCCTAAACCACCTCCACCTATTACGCATTTCCGCCCACGAATAAGGCTCGCAGAACACAGGGCCTGATGCTGCAACCTCCATATTGCTTCCTGGCACCCATGTAGCCTCAAGGGGCGCCTCCCTTGGCATGTCTCTTCCACATCTCACGCCAGCTACCGGTCCTCTACACCTCCGAGTGAACATCAGTGACAACAGCAGCACGTATGCATGCGTTGAAGGGAAGGGGGTGCTGTAAAGAGCCAGACTAGGCCCGCGGGGACCCGACATCCCATGATGCCCCTGACCCAAGATGGCGGCCAGAGCCCGGCGCGCAGCCTTGCCCGGAGACGTATGTGCGCATGCCCGGTCCGAGGTGCCCTGATCCAAGATGGCGCCCAGAGGTGGGCGGGGGACCTGCGCTGAGCGCTTTAGGGAGCATGCTCAGTCTCCCGCCGTCGCTCTGTGAGGAGTCCGCAGTCAGGGCGGGCCGCCCGGTCTCTCCGCGAGAGGCGGGAACGTGTACGCATGCTCAGTGAGCAGCGCCGGCTCTTCGTTGGGTGGAGTCTCCCCGCGAGACTGACGCTGAGTTTGGGTCTCGGTGGTTTGACCTGTTCTCCACCTTCACTGCCCCTGAACTAGAGGGAAGTCGGCTTATGTGAGGTATTTATAGTTGTCGGAATCCCACCCTGGGCAGGGTGGCGCTCGCCTGTAATCTCAGCGCTCAGGAGCCCGAGGATCGCCTCAGATTCTGGGTGACAGCAAGAACCTGTCGCAAAACAAAAAAAGTCCAGAGCTAGAGACAGGAAGAATGGGGGCTGTCCGGGGGGAGGCCCGGAACCCACAGTTCAGTCACTTTAGTGGGTGTGTACTCTCAGTTTTACCTAGGATGGGTTGTGCTCACAGGTAGAGCTCTTTGGATTTGGTTCCCAGCCCCGGAAATAAACTGTTAAAAATAAATTAAGAGGGCCACAGAGGATAATCACAGCGCTGGAAGGAGGGAGGCAGGAGGGCAAGGAATTCAAAGCCATTCTAACAGTCAGTTAGACCAGTGTGGGCTTCGTAAAAGCTTATAAAAAAAAAAAAGGTAAATAACAAAAACAAATGGCAAAATGTACGAGTTTATTTAACGAACTGTGTAATTGAGTGGTAAGTTTAATCATTTAATCTGTGGGTCATAAGAGTATTGCCATCTTTAATAATCCATAAACATGAGTGATATTCCATTATACGCTTTATTTAGTTATCCCTTGACAGTTTCATAAATATGTTATAATGTACTTTTCACTCCTCATTACCCTCTCTCATCCCACTCCCACTGAACCCTTTCTTCCCAATTAAGGTCCCCTTTTCATGTCTTTATATTTTCTAAGAATTAGTATTGTGTATGTATATGATACATTTTGTTTGTTTTTTCCAAGACGTGGTTTCGATGTGTAACAGCTCTGGCTGTCTTCCACTGAAAACCTTTATTAAACTCCTAAGACTGTAATTTTTATCTTATGAAAAGTGTCTCCACCCCCCCCACCCCACGAAACGGGGTTTCTCTGTGTGGTCTTGGCTGTCCTGAATTCACTTTGTAGACTAGGCTGGCCTCAAACTCGTAACGATCTGCCTGTCTCTGTCTCCCTGAGTGCACCACCATGCCAGGCTGGGAAGTGTCTCTTAAATGATAGTCCCTGTCCTGTTCTTTCGTCAGTCTTAATGCTAGTTGCTAATCTATAGAAATCCAGCTGTTGTTTTTATACTGATCCTGTTTCCTAGAACCTTGCTGAACTTGCCTATAAGTAGTTCCATGAAGTGTTTTATATATAAGATCATGTCATTTTCAAATAGTTTGAACTTTACCCCAAATACTTTTTATTTCTTTTGGTTTGGTTTGGTTTTGGTTTTTCAAGACGGAGTTCCTCTGTGTAGCCTTGGCTCTCCTGGAACTAGTTCTCTAGACCAGGCTGGTCTCAGACTCACAGAGATTCACCTGCCTCTGCCTCCCCTGGAATTAAAGGTATATGCCACCACTGCCTGGTTCTTTTAATTTCTTTCCATTAACTTTATTTCCCTGCTGGACATCTCCAGTACAGTGCTGAATAGAACTGGCAGAAGAAAGGCACTGTGCCCTCCCCACTGAGTGTCTAAACTTAATCTTAGCCAGAGGCGGGGACCTGACCTTGCCTTGTTTC